TTTAAAATGCACTTGTTGCTGTCGTCAACCCAGCCGTACTGCACAACATCATGGGTATCATACCACGTTTCATCCAGATAAATCAGATTTCTTATCTGCTCTCTATAGATTTTAACTTTGTGCAAAAATTCTTGGCGCAATTCAACGATTCGAGACGACTCCATAATCACCATTCTTTTATCTAATTTTTTGTATTGAAAACCACACAGTTTTACAATACAGTGCAGTGAGTCTAAGCATTTGTAATTATAAAAATCTTCAGGATAATCTTTTAATTTATCCCGTATCATTTCCAACGTGGGCACCAAATTTTCTTTATAAAATCCGTATATTATACGACGAATCTCTTCCTGAAAACCCACGTCTATTCTTTTTAATTTTTGCCCTATGCGCTTTCTGTGGAAGGAATGGTTGACTACATCTCCCCTTTTTATAACCCGATAAATGGTAGACCGACTGATTTTTGTCAGGATACAAATTCTGTTTAAAATTTGATTTTGCGAGGAATCTGGATTTTCGTTTTTCAGACAATCATACATATTTAGGATTACTCTTTGGGTCTGTTCCTCTAAATCTTTATGAAACAATTCTGCCTGCACAGGTTCATCAACCATCTCCTCGTGGCTTGGAGCATTTTCCCAAGGTCTCCAAAGAGCCATATTTAGGACACACAAGAACAATCAACACAACAATTAAATCAACAAGTAAACTGAGTATTCAAAAGTCAAAAACACACAAACTAATAAAATCTATGAAAAAACACGGACAGACTAAAGAAAACACGTTTATTCACCGCTACACGGCAGTGGCTAAACTGTTTCAATTTTCAGTAGCCACCTGCACTTGTTCGGAGCTCTGAAATACACGCTTTCTCATTGGCTATGTCCACGCATAGGCGTGCTTTACTCCACGTGGACCGGTGAAACTGCCTTTGATCTTATACGGGGGATATTTGCTGCGAAATTTGGCGATTTTTGCAGCAACAGAGCGTGTTAAATATAGATATATAAAACGCACCCGGTATTTCACAGTGTTTCAAGTGACTTCAGATAAAGGATACGAACCTACACCACGAAAATCCATGTCACTCATTTTCGTCGGCCTGTCTGTCGATCTGTTGGTCTGCCGGTCATGTCCGTCTGTCCGCTAATCTTATAACCGCCTTCAACTCGACAAGTACCTTTCGGATTAGTTGACATTATTATACAATGTTACTACTATGCTAATAACCCGAAAGCTTTGTAGTTTTTGAAAATCGATCCAGTGGTCCTGACCTTTTTCAGAAGAAAATGTGTAGGGGTTGACATTGGACATTGGCGGTTGTAGTGGGTGGGGAGGGTATATGAAATTTTGTTGATTTTGGTATACGTATACGCTCCCACCCACGGTTATGCACCTATTAGTGATATTCTACACATCATAGATTTACCCGTACATTTGACTTTAAGACATAGATAAATGGTTTCGATCTGCATACTCCTGACTGTCTAAGCTCACCGCTTGGCGAAGAGCAGGAGTGTTATGTAAAAAGCCTAAAAAACTTCAAAAAAACATTGACATTTTTTTTATTGCATTGAATAATGTATTTGCCGAAAATTGATATTTCTGATGTATATAGTTTGTACGTTTTCTTTGAAAATGTAATAAATATGCATAATGAAGCTTGTTGAATTTTAATCTGTTATATTATTTTTGTCTCTATTGTCACCATGCCATTGTAAACTTTTGTCACACACCCTACCCTCTCTTTGCCTCCATCTGAGCTAGTTATAGCCTCTTCTTTATGTGAGCGGAGAAATGAGTATTGTAAGTTAGTTGTGAGATAATAAGTCCGTTTGTTCTCGATAGCTATATTCCTGCTGCATTGAAAAAAGTCAATTGCAACCTATCAATATACTGAGTACAACCAGACAATTTCAATGTTCTTACTAATTTGAATCAGCAAAGTCTCTGCTATGACTGCATCCCAACTACGAGTATGATGTAAGTTCTGTGGGGTAATTATGCCGTTTTTTTGGTGTCTGTGTTCCTGCTACATTGAAAGAAGTCAACCGCGACCTGTCAGAATACCGATGTTTGTACTAATCCTAACCAGCTTTCACTGTATCAAATGTTGTAAGTCCTGCGGGGTAATTAGGGTGTTCGTTCCTGCTAGATGTATTTCTGCTGGTGACGGTGAACCCTTCCTCCAAGCACTGACCGGCAGGAATTGGGGGTGCGGGTTTCCCTAAGTAGCGAAGCCACTTAGGACTACCCCTCTCGGGATTGTTATAGTTACTAACGTTCATTGTCTTCCAAGCAACCTTACATTCACTTACGTACATCCTCCAAGTGCAGTGACATAGCGCTAGATTGGATTTTATGTTACAGCCATTCAGCGTCTATACCTATGGGAGTATTTAAGGGGACGATTTAAAAGTTTATTTATACAATATTTTCAACAATGAATTTCTGATATGGTAGCTTCCAGTGGACCAGACCAGTTCGTAACGAGCAACATCGTGTTACGGGTTGAAATTTAATGAAGGAAATGCAATTAAACCCTTACCTACATATTCTAAATTTATTGCCCATTATTGAGACATGATTTCAGCACTATCATATCTAGGGTGAGTTTATCATGAAGTGGTTAATTATTGGATTGTTTGCATCCCTAGAGTCTTTAGGACTTCTTATAACAGACGTCTGATATCCTGGACTTGACAACACCAACCAAGCAATTTATACGTTATCCGGGAAAGATGTGTTGCTTGGTTAAGCTATTTCTGTACAGCTCGTCAAGTGTAGGAAGAGATACGATTTTTTTAATAATGTCACGCCTTCTCGGTGCGCAGAAGCTAACGGCTCAATCCGCCGGACGAGGCAGTAGTCTCTTATCGTGTATAGACTAGTTAGAGTACAGTCAGGAGAAAAATTGTCAGGCAGTGAAACAACTTTATTACTTATTATCTCTGAATTGTTACGAATTCGTGGGTTGAATACACACAATTTTACGCTATTAATTGTTGCCATTTATTCCTTGGTGTGCTAAGAGATTTACTCGTTTATAATGGATTTTAAATAAAAATTACAACGTAAAGTTTTATCACTACAAACTAGGGAGGTTGTAGCAAATGTTATGTTCTTTATGCAATGAGAAGCAGAAGGAAGTAAACCTCTTAAAGATTTGAAGAAAGTTCAGGAGCGTGTAGTCATGGCCAAGGGAGTAAGTCTATCGACTATTAGGAGGATTTCTCGCAAAATGAAATCGGTTGAAGAAGGTGCTTTGACATCTTTTTCGACACCAAGCAAAAAAAGACGAAGAGCCACTCCGAAATCTGATTTCGACGACTTTGATAGAAGATTGCTTCGTCGATCTATAATGAATGTTTACATAACGGAAAAGAATGTTCCAACTTTGCGGCGCATACACAGGAAATTTGTTCAAGAACACAATAACAATGGATCAAATGAAACTTTAAGGAAAGTGATGAGGACAATGGGATTTCGTTGGAAAAAGGCAACTATTAGAAGACTTCTTATGGAGAAACAAGAGATTCAGCATCTCGGGAGAAATTTCCTATAATTTATATGGACGAAACATACATCCATACATCACATACGCATGTCAAGAGTTGGAGCGATAATACGAATGAGGGTCTTCAAAGGCCAGTTTCAAAAGGACAAAGATTTATTGTTGTGAATGCTGGTAGTGAAAATGGTTTCGTAGAAAATGCATATCTGAAATTTAAATCCAATAGTAAATGGGGTGACTATCATAGTGAGATGAGCTATAGTAACTATAAAAGATAGCTTCAGGATAAGCTGTTTCAGAACCTGCAACCAAATAGTATTTTGGTTACAGACAACGCTACGTACCACAATGTTCCGATAGACAGATGTCCTACTATGTGTTCTAAGAAGGATCATATATAACTTATGAAATAGATAGAATAATGGCTGAAAAAGGTCATTCTGTTTTGAGATTGCCACCATATCACCTCGACTTGACCCCAATTGAATTGGTATGGGCATCTTTGAAACAATATGTGTGTGAGAGAAATGTAGATTTTAATTTCAAGACTGTGCGACAAACTTTGCGACGACTTTTTCTCGTCTTATCACACAGAAGGATGGAAAAAGCGATGTGAGCATGCCAAAGGTTTTGAGAAGCAGTATATGTATATGTTGCCAACTCTATCTACTATGATTAGTTCCCTGGCCTTACTTTTCATTTGCTTGTTTATTAATTGAAATTATTAACAATTAAAAATATAATAAGTACCAATCAATTTCGGTCTTATAGCTACATAGCGTGCAATACTTATTTTATGGAATACATTGTTTTGGTTTCCTTATTTCTGTGTTTATCTCATCTATATAAATAATACATATATCCGATTTTTAACCTTTCTTCAGAATCGAACAGGTGTGGAAACATAAGCAATTTTGAAAATATTGAAAAAGTAGTTTATAAAACTTGTTTTGTAGATTTAAATTCTTAAGTGCTTCTGGTGGACGTACAATTGTATTTTAAGATATCCTAATGATATAGATACATTAGTTATATATTATATACTCTCGGACTCAATTTTATAATGCTCTTTAGCTCAACCCATTGAACAAATTTCCTCTAAGAGTTATCGAGTCACATGAAATACTACAGGCAATAGACAACTTAAGATCGGGTGCTCGTGGAATTGATGATCTAACGCTGACAATGATAGAACTTAGTCTTGTAACGTTAATGAAGTTATAAAATTTATAATATTGTGCTCACAAAAAGACATTTAAGAATTTGACACATGCCAACAATTTCGATTAAAAAAAGCAGGCTTCACATAATACGTATTACATTATTGAAATTATTCGATTAACTTAGGACGCAGACTACCACTCGAGACCGAATGGCACGTATTGTGCCATCTCATATCTCTTCCTACACTTGGCGAGCTGTACTGTTTTTGCTATATTTCTTCAAATAATCGTTGGACAGCGGTCGCGTCGATCAGCTGTTATATGTGCGATGTGCATGTTCAGATCTAGGAGTCTGACTCTCCCGTTTTAGGGGATCAATAGTTTTAAATCCAAAATAAAATCACCATAAGGGTTGACACATACTTGGTCGCCATAGAGCAGAGGTAAGGAATTTTACCAGAGGCACTCGACTACCATTAGGTCAGGCATCTTATTATTATTTTTCCTCCAGAGTATGACCCCCCTGCTCACTTCTTACCACCATGGGCACAATCTTTATCCAAACTCGGATAATGAAGGTATTCGATGGTCAACCGTTAATTCTCGATTCGACCACTGAACAGTGATATTTTGTTTCAACCATGTAAACAGTAGGAAAGCGCATACCCTCGGGAGTAACCGGTAAGTGCTGATTTTGTATTTATTTGAAAATTATGATTAAAATCAGTGCACCCAGAATTTGCCCCATCTATACGTATGAACCCTTCCACAACACACAGCACCACAGCATTAACCTACGAAGCTTACCAACCATTGATCGATTAAATGCTGTTTCTAACGATTACCTTTTAGTCACGGAATATCGAAGTCCTCTTTCAAACCTAATTAATTAATTTACTAACCAGTAGCTAGTAAACACCCACTCCTTGAATTATTTTTTTTGTAATAATCATATAATTAATTTGTTTGTATGTCAGTATTTGGCAGTTAGATAGAAATTCGTTCTTGGAGGCAACTGCTAGCTTCAGGGCATACATTTGCATTATGGATTGGTCAGTTGCAGTCAACAAGATATCGGTTTCAAAATGTTATGTTTGCAATTTGTTCATTTCTCTGTCTTCTGTAACGCCACCGTGTAATTGCAGGAACACTGTGCCTATGATGTGAGAGAGCAGGTTGGTAACATCTATGACACGTAGTTATAGAAATGCCGCTATTTTTATCGTATCGTTTGTTTGAAGAAATGTATCTTTGTGTGATTTCGATAAAATGAGTCACCTGCGAGGAAAGCAGCATTGTTTTGATAGTCCTCCAGGCAATTTACAATGGTTACAATGGAGCAAATACACTGATAGTCATTTTCAGGTAATTTATGTTGATCTTCGGAAAATCATTACCCGTAGCATTGACATTAACAAATCAGTTTTAAACCCAATAGAAGAAATCCATAACAGATGAAGAAGACCTCCAAATCAAAACCCAAGCTGCTTTCGTAGGCCATACGTACAGCATGGAGCTAGAATATTCCATAGCGTAATGACAAGTGAGAGAGTCCGGTCGGGTCCCCATTTACAATTAAACTCCGCCGCCCACAGGCACCATGCTCTGAATATTCCATTATACATATAAGTAATACATCTTCGTCTCGACCATTCTGCTACCTAGGAGAGACCGGAACTACAGTTAATTTATTTAGTTATTAGGAATGCAAGACCCTAAGACGTCAGCAAGGGGCAGTCACGGTCGTCTTAGTGATCCCTTCCTCCTCTACCCGCCTCGTGCCTGAGCTGTCCGGGGGGAAGCATTACGGTCGTCTTGCATCCTCCGGACCTTACTGGGTGAACGCAACCCTTGATAGTAAACAAAAATGATGTCAAGTTGTTTAAAAGGCGGAATCTAATCGTGACTAGGTAGGTTCACTTAGGTACGATGCATCTTCGACCTCTACATATCAAATTATATAAACACATTTCTGTTTCCATGGCAGATGAAGATAAAACATGTATGTGTCATTATATCCAAATGCATAATATTACCGGGATCAGCAGCTTCTTCTCTCTCTCTTCCACCACGGAGGTCCTGCGATGACAATTATTGGAAAAGGTCCTTGAGATAACAGATTAACATCATCCATCAAGGAACGCTCCTCCCGTTGGCCGTTAAACAATCCTGCTGTATCCGAGAGCCTTTCAATGTCGACATTCTTCACATTATGCATTGACGAGCACGTTATTGCCGACAAAAATAGAAGTAATCTGACCTCTCTTCCGTGGATGACCACAACTGCCGGTGCGGAAATATTTAATGTTTTATTTTGCTCTAATTTCTATTCAATTTCGTCTTGATAATATGAAGAGTACACGAATCATATCTTTCCTAATTAACCTCGGTTTCTTGTGGATGCTTCAGCAGTTGGAACTACAGTAAAAATTGAACAACCTGGGCAACGGAACTTGGTTCCACTGCCAACCACTGATCCCAGATAGAGAAGATATATATTAGTCTAATCATATTAGCCAATTTTCCCTGAAATAATTGTAAAGCCTGGTTTTATTGGTGCAAGTTAATCAAGGGCGTATTTGAGACATGGACGTACAAAATGGGTACGCCAATTTTTGTGTGAAATTTTTTTTTGACAAAGAATGAGTAAACATGTTTTTTTGGAATTCAATCGAAAGCGTGGACAGGAGCGAAGAAAATTTTGATATAAGATTTTTAGGTATTTATGAGACCTACAAAATCAGATCGCACGTGAAAAGATCCGACTAATAGTAAAAATGTTATGGCTGAAAAACGAGGCAAAATGCAGGTTTTGGCACTTGTTGGTAATGCGACGATAATTTCACGCAGCTACTTGAAATTCTTCAAATCCGTTGGATTCATACTTCTATATAACAACAACAAAATTGGAGTATATTGGTCAAGTGTTTTTTGAGAATTTATAATTGTGTAGTCCAAAACACCTGTTTTCCGGCAGTCACTACTAGTTTATGGAGCAATATACAGAGTTCGTTCAAAGAGCATTTATTAGCAAAATACACGTGTTTACCTTGCCGATATGAATCACAAACCATTCCGAAAGATAAATGTTATTTTTATGCGAAAAACAAAGGTTACTTCTTCTCAACAAATTCAAACATTTCGTATGTGTGAGTAATTGAACATATGCGCTACGATATTCGAAAAACATACGTTACTAAACACATTTCATCAAGGCGGATGTGTCTATCAACTTTTGTTGCGAATTACTCACAAATACGAAATATTTGAATTTGTTTAAGAGAAAAAACGCAACTTCTCCTTTTTTGCATAAAAATAACATTTATCTTCCGGAATGGTTTGCGATTCATATCATCATAGGTAAACTAGTATATTCTGCTATATACTGCAGTTTGAACTAACCCTGCATATTGCTCAATAAACTAGTAGTGATGGCCGGAAAATAGGTGTTTTTGGATAAACACTTAGAGATTCTCAAAAACTGCTCGACCAATATACTCCAATTTTGTTGAGGTTATTTAGAAGTACGAATGCCATGAATTTGGTGAATTTCAAATATCTGCGAGAAACCATCGTCGCCTTACCAACAAGTGCCAAAACCTGCGATTTGCCTCGGTTCCCAGCCATAACTTTTTTGTTATTTGTAGGATGTTTTTACGCGTGGTCGCATTTTGTAGGTTTCATAAATACCTAAAAATCTTATACGAAGAATGTTTTCATTTCTGCCAACACTTTCGATTGAATCCCAAAAAACGCGTTTTCTCATTCTTTGTTGTCGATTAAAAAGTCTACCCACAAAAATTATTGTACCCATTTTATTCGTCCATGTTTTGTATACAGCCTTGAACAACTTGCAGCGATAAAACGAGACTTTATAATTATTTCGCAAACCAGGGGTATTTTCGTCTAACATGATTAGACCTGCTGATATTATCTCCAGGAAATACATCTGGATAACTTATGCTTCAGGATCAAGTTGATGTAAAATTGAGTTGTTTGTGTAGCTTTTCTATTATATTGATATTCTCATATTCTTTGTTATATTTTCAAATGTATACAGTTTCCAGAGGAGCTAAGCCAACACGCTTATATCATATAAAATTTTGCACCAAAATTTTACATTCTACTTATGAATAGTATGGAAATATGATTATAATGCTGTATTATAATTCTCACGAAACAGGAATCGAAATATACTAAGTGACATATAAATCCGAACACCCAGTTTAAATGGTTTTATTTTAATAAAAGTAAGTGAATGTATTTATCTTACTGTAAATAACAAGTGAAAAAATTTTCAGCCTTATCAGTTGGACATTCCGGTTTTTATACTGCTTTTTTTTAATTCACTAACGCTCTAAAAATGAATATTTCAGCCGCAGTAAAGAATCAACTTTGGCGGATTTTGGTTCTTGACATCCTTTACGATCGGTTACGATGTCTAGAGTACGGAGACCTGCACGATTTCGTCAACTTAGTGAGTTTGATAGGGGCCGTATAGTGGGACTTCGGGAAGCTGGACTTTCTTTTCGGGGAATTGCAGTTAGAGTGCAAAGAAGTGTAGACACTGTGGTTAGGTGTTGTCAGGCATGGCTTCGAGAAGGCCGTACGCAAAGAGCAAGGGGCACTGGACGCCGCCGAAGAACAACAGACCGTGAAGATCGCCGGCTAAGATTATTGGTCTTAAGGGACCGTTTCTCCACTACCAGGTCCATTGCAAATGAATGGTTTGCAGAACACGGAAGACCTATTGCATGCGAAGTGTTTACCGACGAATGAGAAGTTTTGGCTTGTTTTCATACCGGCCACACTGGGTCCTCCCTTTAACTCGAGAACATCGACGTAATCGCCTTGAGTGATGCAGACAACGGTCACTCTGGGATCAGGAATGGAACAGTATTGTCTTTAGTGACGAGTCTCGATTTTGTTTAGGCATGCACGATGGTTGTGCCAGGGTTAGAAGGCGACGTGGTGAAAGGAGGAATCCACAGTTTTTTGTTGAAAGACATGTTCATCACACTGTTGGAGTTATGGTTTGGGGTGCTATAGCTTATGGTTCCAGGTCACCTTCAATCTTCATCAGAGGTAACATGAACGCGCAGCGTTATATCCACGAAGTTCTAGAACCCCATCTTTTACCCTATCTTGATACCCTGGCAGATCCAACTTTCCAACAAAATAATGCCCGACCACATGTTGCAAGAGTCACAATAGACTTCTTTCAACATAATGATGTCACATTGTTACCATGGCCACCAAGATCTCCCGACTTATCCCCAATTGAGCACGTGTGGGATATGAAGGGTAGGAGATTGCTCAATTTGCAACGTCCTCCTCAGACTCTAGAAGCACTTCGAGAGGAGTTTATGAATGCCTGGAATGAGATAACACAGGAGGACATTGACCACCTGATCAGAAGCATGCCTAGGCGCGTTGGAGAATGCGTAGCACATCAGGGTGCATCCACACATTATTAAAGGTCAAAGGGCTTTAAAGCAGTGCAATCATTTGGAATTTTTATCATTTACTTATTATGCTTCATTAAGTACTTATACAAAATTTTATTAAAATAAAACCATTTAAACTGGGCGTTCGGATTTATATGTCACTTAGTATATATGGACCATTAATTAACATTATTGATTTCTTATAC